AGTTTTACTTTTATGATTAACAACATGCTATTTAAATTTCTTATTCCAGAGTAAAATATTTTTCAGAGATTTTGATATATAAAAATTTAAATGAAAAGAAATATATATTGTCATACTTTTAAGTTAAAAAGTAACTTTTTCTTTTAAAAATGTTGTTTTGTGAAGATTTCAAATTACATAATAAAAATATTTCCAAAAATGTTAATAATTTTAGCAATAATGAGTGTCAGCCTTTAAAAGAAGCATTGTATGTATACTAATTTAATTTTAATGTTTTTTAGGAAAAGTCTTGCCAGGAGTTGCAGCTCTGACTGATGCATAACTGTCTAAAATATACTTAGCGTGATTTATATTTACAATACATATTGTTGTTTATTTATTTTTATTTGTTTTTATATTCACCTTTAGTTGTTCAATTATTACGCATGTAAATTTTAATTTTCAAAATTCAAATTCCTTTTGTTAAATGTGTTTTACTATTCATTATTTCATCATAGATTGAATATTTATTGTTTTGATACAATAAATACAAAAAAATGTACTTAGTTAATTTTTATGACTGCTACTTGTGAAATTAATTAGTAGATAGTCTTAAATAATAAACTATACACTAAAAGYTACTACTATTTCTACTTTATACTATACAGTATAGTCGTATACAGCTATATATTGCTCATGCGATAAACATGCTGATAAAAGAACCTTGACGTTTAGTAMGTATACTACAAGCTTTTGGGTGTCTCAGGTAATACAGTACATAAATTACATTAGAGATGAAGTTAGGTTTGGTTACCATTTAACTAATCAATTATAGAAATGGTTTACACCAATACTGAAAAAAGGCTTTCAAAAAACTTATATTTTGTTAAATTATAAATTAAAAATTCCATTTTTTATTACTTTAAGTATCAATTACTCATATCAAACAATTTTAAACAAATATTGTCTTATAAATGTCAGCAACATCCCCATTGCGACACTTGAGTTGTGTATAATAAACAATTTTTGTTAATAATTAAAAAATATGTTAAGTATAGATTAAAACGTTAAATTAAGGTATATTGTTTAAGTAAATTATTACAAAAATGGAAAATATATAATATTTCTCTTAATTACYGACTACTGATGTAATAAATTTAAAAATAATTATTTGCCGCCACGGAAAAAAAAAWTTGATTATGGAATAAACTGCAAAATMAACAAAATACGCTTGATGCTGATCATTGATAAGTGATAACAGATTAATTCTTGATAGCAGGCTGGTGCTCTTGGTCTTGATACGAGCTTCATAACTTCTGTTAAAACTTTACATTTTAATGTAAAAACCATGATGTAGAGAACAGAAGGTGATAACACT